TGTGTAAAACATAAGGGAGGAGAAGAGGCTTGCTCTGCCCTCTTGTGCTCTGGCTGCTTTTGCTGGTTGCTGTCTTGAAGTGCTGCCCCTGTGCCATGCCACCCTGCCTTGGAACCAGCTGATTGTGGACTGAAACCTCCACAAATAGTGGGCTAAATAAATCTTTCCTTCCTTCATTGTGGGTGTCAGGTGTTTTGTCTCAGCAGCAGAGAAAAGTGACAGAGACACTGAGACTGTGCACTAAATTGAACTTTTCCTTTTTTAAATTGTGGGTGTCAGATACTATGTCTCAGTGATAGGAAAGCTAACTAATACAGATACATTACTCAAAGTTATTATGACCATTTATTACTTTGAATGTCCTGCTTTTGAAATAGCCCTTTCCCCACTCCAAACACACCTTTTGTTTCCAGTCAAAATGCTCAACAATAAAGGAAAGCTTAAATAACTAAGTGTATTCATATAGCAAAGTACCAACTAGCTATAGGGAGCCCTCCTAAGAGTCCCGATTGTCTATCTTAAGAGTAGGGCAAGAAAAATAAAAGAGACAAGTACCGTATTGCATCAATGGCTGGGAAGTCAGTGTCTCTGGATGGGCCCTCCACCACTCCCCAAGCAGCCAGTATTTATTAGGTGTATCAGGAGTAGGTGGGGCTGGCAAGGGATTACAATTTGGTGAAAGACTCAGACTCAAGAGGGGGTAGATGATTTTATGCTTAGAAGTATCTTGTCCTGACATATAATACTGAGATGACTCAAGAAGGCATAGATGATCTTACGCTTACAGAAGTCAATGGGAAATCTAAGATGGGTGGTACCAACAATCCCAAACCCCCATTTTATCCCATAGGGAAGTATGAAAAACTTGCCATTGTGAAAATGTGGCCTCCAGCACTAGCCATGTGCATTATATCATATGTATATGTGAAGAAAGAATTTAAAGTTGAAGAAAAAGAGAGAGCTGTCAAAATTAGGTGGAAGAATCTTTTAATGGAAATTTTAGCCTTTGGTGACTTACACAGAAGAATTTACCGCCCAGGTTTAAGGTGAGAAGTGGAACATTTCTATTTGACAAGGTCTGGAGCTTGCAGTGGGAATGTAAGGCTAAACTGAAATGTGGGTCATGGGATTGAAAAAGACAGGTGACCCTGAGTTTGGGTCATGGAATGAGTGGTCCACATCAGCCAGGAAAGTCTGGGGTAACGGCAGGAGAACGACCCTCAGCCGGCTGTGGGAATGTTTACACTCTGTGATTGGAGCAGGCTGGGAAGCTCACAGAGACAAGGAATGAATGGTCTGGCCCCGAAGGCCAAAGAAAAGGCAGGAGCAGCAAAATGCGACAGATAGCAGTGAAGTTCAAAAGTCTGAGATTCAAAGATTTCTGTTTGTCCGTTTGTTTGTGGTTATTTTTTGAGATCTATTTCCTCCTGTTCAGAAGTATCCGTTGAAGCCAGGAGAATGCTAACTTTTTACTCCAGTTGATGACACTGTCACTGGATCATAGGGACAGTGATGCCTTTTGAAAGCAGGAAGGGAGGCTTCCGTGGGCCAGGCAGGTTGATGATGCATTGGTGCATAAACACATTACAGGCCCAGTCAGGGACAGGCAGAGGGTGATTTAGTGGGTGGAGCTAGAAAGTCAGACAAAGTGGGGAAAGGATTTCATCTCAAGGGCCCCATGGGCTACAGCTGTGTCAAAGATGAGACTGGCCTGTTGACAGATGCAGAAGACAAGCTTTGATGTGCTCCCGCAGAGGGTTACCCCGGTGTTAGTTCTAGCTTTGCAGGAAACTTCAGAGAAGTGCTTCTCATTTGAGGGCGCAACTTGGTCCCCCGAGATGACTGCTTTTGTTCAGAGCAGTCTTAGCGCTGTGGAGGCTCCCTGGGCTGCAATCAAGGTGACCATGAGTTTAGGGGAGTACGTGTCCGTGGGTAGCTGGATCTCCCTATAAAATCTCTTAACTTGATTTCCTCAGTCTTGATGAGACAGGTCACATAAATTTAGAGCTCATCAACCTGTATGGCCAGTTTTTAGACACAGCCTCTAACCAAGTGCCACACATATCTGCAGAAGTGGGCAGGATCTAACCCGAAGTTTAAGTTAGTAAAGAATACAGACAGAACTGGGGCTGGGGCTTTAGCTCAGCAGCATATGCATTCTCCTGGCAAGTGTGAGGTCCTGAGTTTGATCCCTGGTTCCAAAAAAAAAAAGCAAAAAAAAATACAGAAGAATACAGGCTGAGCTTTGTTCTACTTTTGTTCATGCATTATGTATTAGAAAGATAAAAAAACGTTTTTTTGTCTTTTTCTTTTTTTATCGGTACTGGGGATCGAACTCACGACTGCCTGCTTGCAAGGCAGGCGCTTATGCCGCTGAGCTAAATCCCCAGCCCCAAGATAAAAATTTTGTCTGCTGAAAAACTGCAATATCATTGTCATTTCTGGACATGCTAGTAACACAGGGTAGCCACCATATGTTTACGTAACTGAACAACTAAAATTTTAAGATTGAAAATAACTTTAAAACATGGACTTTTAGGGGCTGGGAATTTAGCTCAGTGGCATAAGCACCTGCCTTGCAAGCAGGCAGTCGTGAGTTTGATCCCCAGTACTGGTAAAAAGATTTTTTAAAAAAGTAAGAAAAAAAAACATGGACTTTTAAAATGTATTATATTATAACTAGTCATGCGAGCAAAAGATAAACATTCATATAACATAATAACATTCAAAGTGTTTCCACTTTAAAGACTTAGGTGGAAGTGTACAAAATTTTAATGTTTCTAAATTGTATCTTTAGGTTATAGAAGTGCACAGATCACAGTCATGTGTTTTTAGTGTTTTTCAAATATTATGAAATAAAATGGACTATTTTGACCATTTTAACTGTACTCTTTAGCGTTACTAAGTGTATGCACATGATATGCAACCATCACCACTGTATATCTCCAGAACTTTTGCATCATCTCATCTCAAAACCATGCACTCAGTAAACAGTGGTTCATTACTTCCCAAGCCCCTGGTAACCACCAGTCTATTTTCTGTTAGTGAACTTGTGTTCTGTTAATGAACCCTTGTGGGTTCGTTATCTGAATGGACTCATAGAACACCTGTGCCACATGTTTGGGAAGGTCCTTTCAAGAGCATCTGGACTAGAGAATTGAGAACAAGTACAGATGTACATGAGATTGATATGCCAGAACCAAAGTTCTTTTCCATCTCCAAACCCAGAGTTCAGAATTCTTAGGCTCCAAAATTGTCTCTCTCTTTTCCATTAGTTTATGATATAATAAAATTTAACCTTTATACATTTTGGAATTTTGCTTATAGCTGGTTACATACTTTTAAAATAACACTACGATATCCCTTTCATGATGACATCACTGTGCCCCAAGTGCCTTAACTGCTTCATCTCTTTAGAGTTGCACCAGGTCAATGAAGCATGTGATGTACTCTTTTGTAATTTGGGAAATCAAGACTGAGAAACTTAGAGTAAGTTTTTCAAATCCACAAGCCAGAATAAACAAAATCAGAGATCCAACTCAGGTCTATGACTTGAAAACTCATACACTGTCTCATTTTACCTAATTAATGGTATGATAAAGATAAGAAATACCTTTTGCAGAGCCAAAACTCTAGGGACATACAGTTTCTAGTATTTCTTTATAAAACTATCTAATGCCTGTGTGTGTTTCAGTGTGCCTTGAAGAAATACAATTATTAAAATAAATATTTCAAATCACCTTGAATTCCAAAGGTTATGCCTTACTTACTACAGAAAAGAGAATTTGAAATGAGGTGACACCATTGTGTTCATTTGTAAATAACATATTGCAGCAAACTGTTTCTTAATTACTCAGACTTATTGATAAATAATCCAGCAGCACTGCTCTCCACCGACAATTTGCTTTGGATTAGAGCAGGCAACTCAAACAATACTAATTACAAGGAAGCCCTTTTATGTGAATACCTGTTTGTTATAGAGAAGAAAAATCCCCTGATAAAGGGTTGAGGGACCCTCATTTTACCTAAATTGGAGGGACCCCCCCAATTTTTGCCTAAAACAGCATTTAGTACCTGGGCTGAAGTGATTTTAGTTGAATGAATTTCTATTTAATAAACGTGGATGAAGTTTTATGTATTTTGTTGAACAGTGATGTTCAGTGCTTTTTACTGTTCACTGTACTGTCATGAATTATGCTCATTTTGCATTTTTAATTAAATGATACCACAGATGTAGAAGCTTTATTTAAAGCCATACTTTCATTGAAATCAGCTATGATGCTAAATAATTATTTTCTCTAAGGGTGTTTTGTATACTAATAGATAAGTATGTCTCTAAGAGAGAGAAACAGACTTTAGGAAATCTTTACTATTTCCAGGGATTTGCTGTAACATGGTACTACTGTATTTATGATTTTATGGTGTTAAAATGAATATTAAATGAAACAAAATTCCCAAGGATTACTCAGGAGGCAGCTAAGTACATAACATTTTACATAGATGGTTGGAAGGCACAATTTCACTCCATTGCTGCACCCATATCCTTGAACGATTTCGACTGAAGACAGCATTTCTTTGAATTTTTCATTAAACCAGACGTCTTGAAATATGAATTCCTTTTATGTTTCTATGAGTTTTGGCTAAAAGAACCCCAGTGAATAAATCATACAATACTACGTGTCACCAGCACTTGTGAATATTTCTGCTTTGTTATTCTGTTCTCAGTAGAGCACCATTGATTACCAAGCTCAGCGGAGAGCATTTTATGATCATATATCTCCATTAGCTCCTACTTTGACTACCATAGATTTTCCTGGTTAAGCTTGCATTATGTATTAGGAAGCCCATCTCTTCAATGCAAAGTTTGATTTCATTTTTCTAAGCCTAGAACTCTTATTATGTATTATGTATAAAGATTCTTATCTTTTATATGTAAAAATAGGCTTCGCAGTCTTTGTGTAACTGAAATGTATGCCATCTTTTTTCCCCTTGATTCACAGGTAGCATATTATACTATGAAGATGGATCTCTACAATGCAATGGCTGTCAGGGTAAATATTTCTTCACTTGTTAAACAAATGAAAAGTCAATTGTGCCCTGAATTCGCTTTTAATAAAATGAGCAAAGCAGAATAATGCAAATTTGATTGATATGCTAATGTTAACAGAGAAAAGAGTACATGATTAAAAAGTTAGTTATGCTAAATAATCTTGGCAGCATTAAAAATGAGAGTAAAATGTAAAATATGTAGTTATAAATGCTTATGTTTTAGAGTGTTAAATATCTCTGAGCCATAGCTGGAGAAAAACCCCAAATATTAATAAAGCAATGTATTCGTTTCCATATGGCACATAAAATATGGTGATAAATAGATGAACATGGCTGTGGAGTGTATGACTCCCTCCCAGTAGAAATCAATTAGAAATTATGCATATGATTGATAGTAATAAAATTCAGTTTCCAACTTACAGGATTTATTTTTATCATTTTTGTGTGCTATTTTTTCTAATAGAATGGTAAACTTAGCAATTGTAGGGCTTGAAACTGATTTTAACCTGGAATGGGCAATATTATTTTTTGTTTCAGACGATATGGTAACAGCTTAATTGTTAAGCTATCACAGATGGAGAAATTCTGTAGGTTAATGTCTTTAAGACCTATTTTCACCTTATTGTATGTTATTGCATTAATCTGCTAGTCCTGAATTCTGAAAATGACAGATTTTGTTTGGGTTGAGGCGAAGTACAAGGAGATTCTGAAAGGTAGGTTTGAGCCTTGGTGGCTTAATTAATGCTATGCTGACTATTCTATGGCTTCAGATAAAGTGAGTTCTTCTCAGGCATAAGTGTGCTAGAAGCCTGGACCAGAGCCTGTCTCCAAAATCTCCATCCACCTCTGTGCTATTCTGGAGTTTGTGGGAAAAAAGAGGAAGAAATAGATCTTCCCACTCCTGAGCCACCAACAGCTACCCCCACTACAGGGCACGATTTCCTTCAGTACTATTTGCAAAAGAAAACAATTTGATTTTCCTCTGATAGTGGGAATGCTGTAACCTGGATTTTGATTCCCTGTATGGCTCTGCCAGACTTAACTGCTAAGCCCTTTCAGTTCTGTATTTTCTTCTCCTTTCATGTCACCTGTCCCTCACAGAGTGTATCCCCAAGAACCTAAGGCAGTGACAGAGCCATGTCTGGGTCTCTCCATCGGTCTTGGTGGATCACAGAAGGTAATCTTCTAGGTCATTTGTGCGACTAGTTGAAAGCCCAGAAGAGAGGGGCAGGATTCTGTGTGTTATTCACATTGAATGCTGATCTGGTTCGAATCATTGAGGCTCCTTTTAACCTAGACTAACCGCATCTACAACATGCTATCAGTAAAGCCCCTGGGAAGCCAGAATGTTCTTCTTTTCCAACATCATAGTCAAACCTGTCTTTCCTGATAGCACATTCCATGTCAGTTGGTCCCTGATTAGGATCGGTAGACAATTTTGAACTTTAACTATGTCCTGTGATCCTGGAAAACAGCAAAGGTTAAAAGACAACCTTGCCATCTCATTGCTCTTTGGAAACAGATTATTGCCAAAAAGCCACCCTTCCTGAATGACGGGTAAGACACAGATGTTCAGCCCATTTACTTGTGACAAGGCTGGTCTTACCTCCTCCAAATTCTCATTCTTTACCTCCCCAATGATTAGTTAATTTGCTTATTTTCTATGATCAGTTGGAACAACAGATTAACCAAAGTATCTTCCAGCTTCTCATCTTGCCCCGGGTTCCTGAACTTTGGCCAGCACACTTCTCTTTAATCCCCCCTCCTGAGAATGGCCTGGCTTTGGGGTGAAATGCTCTGTGATATACTGCCCAGGCAGGCCACTCTGTCATCCGACTGCCACACAGCAGGCATTTTCTAGCCTACTTACACCTTTCCATAAAAACATAACTTCCTTGTACCTACCTCTTGGGGTACTCGTGAATCTTACTGTCAAAGTGTTTTCCCTAGTATGATAGCCCACTTCTGGAACAGTCACTGCCTTTCTCTCCCCTTGCAATAATCCATTCCAGCAAAGCATCCCCTTACTAAATCGAGGTTTGACAAACCATTCCATGAGGGAAGTCATTCCAGAGGGAATACAGTGGGGATCGAATGAAGAGAGGAAACCCTTGAGCATAATCTAGAAATTGAAGTGACCCACTGTGAACATTCAGTGAAAAATCAGTCGATATTACTGTGGGTAATGTATAATAAAATCATTTCTCTAATGAAGAAGTTTGAGGGCTTCCTTCAGCAGTTGGTGGTGAATTAATTTGGTGACAGACTTGGTACTTTATGTTCCTAAATCAAGGAATTGGGACAGACCACAGTAATTCTCACTTGCATAGAGGCCATAAGTAATTCGCCAACAAAGGTCAATTTTTAGCATGAGTTGATTACAATGACCAATGACCAGAACTGAATTTATCTGTGGATTTTTGCTGCACAGTCCTCTTAAAGTTTTGATCTCTGCCAAAGCGTGTGGTTAATACCATGGATGAGTGGTCCATGTAGAACCTGAGGATCACAACCCTCACTGAAAACCAGCAGCTGAAGTTTTATTTCTAATAACTATAGCTCTTCTTTTGTAGTTCATGAGCTACCAAATAACTGCATTCAAAATAATTTAAGCGTGGGTGGCTGTGGGTATCCAGGTATAAGACCCTCTAAAGTTAATAGATAATTGCCAATAATCTATATAGACAATAAATATATATATTTCAAATTGTAAATAGAATCTTCACGTTAAAATAGGTAGGAAAAAAACCCTCATTTTAGATGGCCTCATGCTCTGAGCTGATTGTAGGGTGTACATTTGTCTATTGATCGCTAGCATGACAACTAATTACATCCAATTGTCAACAAGGCTGGTGAAGCACAGGGGCCGTGAAAGCTCATTTATACCCTATGCCTCCCTAAGTACATGTCACTCTTTTATAATCAAGCACAAATCACACGTATGCGGTTTTGTTTTATGTAATAGATATTAATCTTCTCCTCTGCCCCATGTACTTTTTAAAGGGTCACCTTTTCTCTAAAGAATGTATGATTCCCCTTGCCCTGCTGACTCTAATCACTCTCTGGGTTTTTATTGCCCTAATTTACCATGGATAGACTTCTGCGATAGAACCTGTAATATTATATGATCCTGACTAGTTTCCATTCCAGTCTCCCATGCATAGCATGCGGTAAGCCCCCTGAGGCCCGGATTGCATCTTCTCCATCTTCGGGTCTCCAGTGCTTGAAGTGTGGGAGGTAGTTATGTAAATAATCCTAAATGGCCCGGTGAGCTCCAGTGAGCTCTGACTCGTTGTTTTGCTAGGCAAAGTGTTTATAAAAGTCTTTCGCTTTAAACATTGTCTTCTCTGTGTCTCTGAGTTGGGAATTCTTTAAACCTTTGCTGGAGGATCTCTAAGCCTTTTGTGATGACTCTAACAAGCCGTGATGTGGATCAGCTGGGAGAGGGGGAGAATTTGGTTAGTGAGCAGTTCCTAGGTGCATGGAAGACCTCCTGAGGTTTAAGACTCAGCCAATTTTGCAGGACTTTGGGTTGAGGGAGCTTTGGCATGATCTAAGCTGCTGGCAGAGCCCACAGTATGCTTTTATAGAACCCGTGTTGCTAGTTTGCTGCTAGGCCAGTGGCAGTCAATTAATAGCGCAATAAACTGCTTAGTAAATTTTTATCTTAGCTCCTGGGCTCCTACTCCTCCTGTTTCGTGGTGTGATACTTTATTTCCATTTTATATGCCAGTTTGACTTTACTCCAGGTTAAGATTCTGCTATTTTGGTAGCATCTTGGCCACTATTGCAAATCCTATTGAACTCAGGCTCTGAATTTTTCAGTTTTCTCTTTTTAGACAGTTTTGCATACCATAGAAGTGTCAACTCTTTCTCATCTGTTTTCTGTCCTGGTTCCATCTATAGATTGGTGGTTTACAAGGCTGATAAAAAAATCTGGTGTGCTTTTCAATAAAAAATGTATTAAATAACACGATGCCACTAATCCTGAAAATACTTTCCCTCTCTTCAAAGGCAGTTATCTCATCCTTCTTGCCACTCTCTGAACTAGTTCTGAAAGTTTCATTTCACATCTTTATGAGATATGTGAGGTCAAAAATAGGGTTCGTGCCATACCAAGTGCCATCTTATGGGAAAGCAGGCTGGTGGCAGCATTGCAGTGTCCTCGTCTCCCTTACCCACTGGATCTGACGCCATTGGACTTCCAGCCCCTCAGTAATCAAAATGACCATGAAAGGTAAAGGTTTGGAATCAAGGCAGGACGCTGAGGCAGAGGTAACAGCGCAACTAAAGACACTTACAAAAGAGGATTTGCAGAACTGCTTCAGAAAGCAGCAAAATCAGTGGTATCAGGGTGTTCCCAGCCAGAGGGAGTATCTTACGGGGATCCATGGCCATGTCTTTTACTGTAATACATTTTTAAAAATTTAAACATTCAGATTTTTAAATATTTTCAATCATACATGTGTATGTTTTTTAATGTGGTATAAAACTGACCATCCCCTTCTGATCTTAGAGAGCAAATCCAAGTCAGCGGATAACTCGAGTGTCACTTCAGGGCCACCATCTACGAGGTGGAGATACTTGGGTTCCTAATAACACTGTGACAATTTTAGATAAGGTCAGTACTTACTTCATATGTGGAAAGGCTTTTTAAAGGTATCCTCAGACAGCAACAATAGCGCAGTTTAGTGGAATTATTTTATTTATCTAAAGTTTATTAGCTGTTCCTTTCCTCCAGCACCTTGATTCACAGTTCTCAATCAATAATGTATTAACTGAGCAGCCCCATCGCTGGAGTCTCTGGTGTGGAAGGGCACATACTTTATACCCAGTGCTTCGGCTTTTACAGGGAAAAGTAACCAGCAGGGGCGTTACACACATTCACTATCACCCTTGCCAAGGAGACCGACCCTCTTTACCTAACAGAGTGACTCCTCCTAGGGGAAGGTGAATGGAAACAGCTAAATGTGCTTAGTTAATACATTAACTGTCCCTGTGT